CCATCCACACACCAGAGCACCCGCCACCCATCCACACACCAGAGCACCCGCCATCCATCCACACACCAGAGCACCCGCCATCCATCCACACACCAGAGCACCCGCCATCCATCCACACACCAGAGCACTCGCCATCCATCCACACACCAGAGCACCCGCCAACAAGAAATTCATGAAATGTTTAAAAAGGGGTTATACTGTACTGTTCAACATGAGACTGGGCTGCTCAAATTGCGATTTCAAAACCTTCACAAAAAAAACCTGAATAGGCTAAATGTAAAAAGAATCTTTGAAAGAGCGGGATTTTTAAAAAAAATAATCCTGGTCTGATATTTTCAGAAACAATATGTACTTTATCAAAATGCTCCCCCACAATGTTCATACACAATACAATAAACACTTTATCAAAATGCTCTCCAATATTTTCAGATACAGCACATTAAGGACTTTTCCATGTCCCCTAATTGCACTCAACATAAATAGGTCATATAAGTGCCACGTATTAGAGGCGATACTAGAGAGCGGCGTACAAAGAAAACAAGGAGGAGAGATAAGGACGATAAATGTTCAATAGGAAAGGAGGAGAGACAAGAAAGATGGGCGTTTGATAGAAACAAAAGAGGAGATATAAGGACAATTGATGTTTGATAGGAAAGAAGGAGAGTTTTTTGGGGGGTTTTAGTAAGTGTTTTACAGCACTTGCAACACAATAAGGTCACATAAGTGCCGAAGATTAGAGGTGTTACAAGAGAGTAACAAACATAATAAAAAAGGAGGAGAGATAAGGACTATAGATGTTTGATAGGAAAAAAAAGGAACAAACCCCACCGCAGGTGAAAAGAGGAAGATACATGATGACAAAACCCTTTCCCGAGGACACAAATGTCTTACGTGGCGTGATCGTTGGATCCGGAGGCCAGAATGTGTCCCAGCGGGTGCCAGCCCACGCTCCACACCATCCCCTCGTGGGCCTCCTCGATCCCGCCGATCTCGTGGTCGCAGCCCACCATCCAGAACATGAGCGCACCGTCGGCGCTCCCGCTGACAAACAAACCCTCGTGGACGGGATGCCAGCCGATAGCTGCGGAGAAGCAATTTTTTTTTTTAAATCTTTTGACAGCTTGGTACTTCCGGCTTCAAAACTACACTACACCAACTTTTGTAATAATCGAATCTGAAATCTCAGGCTGAAGAATAATCGTTATTAGCAACATGTTGAGATGGGTCATTATTTTCCCTTTATTTTCATATATGATACATGTGCCTAATTGAACTTAAAAATCTTTAATTTGTCCGAGGGGAGACAAAAATCGAAAACAAAAGTAGGTCCCAGATAGGGGCCACTCCAGTTAGATAATTTAGGACTGTCCCCGTTGTTTTATGCAAGAAAAATTATGAAATTATGCAAACTGAGCCCAACAATGTGAAATTACGCGATTCTGTTAATTTTAACAAAGAATGATAAAGGAAAATAATCAGAAATTATGCAAATACTGATCAAATTTTGCTAAATTATGCGCGTGCATAAAACCACGGGTGCAGTTAGGAGGCGGGTTTCCCATCCTGCCTGTCAGGGCCATCCCGGGCTGAGAGGGATATAACATCCCAGAAGAAAGACTTGAGATAATTGATATAAATTTCTCCCCGCTAGGGAATCGAACTTGGGGTCTCCTGCGTGTGACAGCAAAGAGCCTAACAGCTGCGACATCGCAGACACCGGAGAAGAAAGCACTCACCTGTGGCCTCGCGCTTATGTCCCTTGAACGTCTGCATCTCTTCCTTGAGGTTTCGAACATCAAACAGCTTGAGCAGATGGTCGCGCGACGCTGTCAGCATCCAGTTGCCATTCTTGTGCCACTTGAGATCCATGACCGTGTGCTTGTGGGCGTGTCTGTGGACAGAGGGGTGTGTACGAGGGAATAGATTTGTGGGCGTGTCTGGGGACAAAGGGGTGTGTACAAGGGAATAGATTTGTGGGCGTGTCTGGGGACAGAGGGGTGTACGAGGAAATAGATTTGTGGGCGTGTCTGGGGACAGAGGAGTGTGTACGAGGGAACAGATTTGTGGGCGTGTCTGGGGACAGAGGGGTGTGTATGAAGTAATAGATTTGTGGGCGTGTCTGGGGACAGAGGGGTGTGTATGCGGTAATAGATTTGTGGGCGTGTGAGGGGACATGTGAGGGGATAGATTTGTCGGCATCTCTGGAATCGTTACATTCACAGGAGGGGTGGCACATACAGACGGCACCCTGACCATTCCTTCCAGGATAAGATCGACTGTATATAGATAGATAGATAGACAGATAGACAGATAGATAGACAGACAGACAGATAGACAGACAGATAGATAGACAGATAGATAGACAGACAGATAGATAGACAGATAGACAGATAGACAGATAGACAGATAGACAGATAGATAGATAGATAGATAGATAGATAGATAGATAGATAGATAGATATAGACAGACAAATAGACAGACAAACATAAGACATTAGCGTGAGACAAGAACACACACATAGGCGTGACTCACAGAGTGGCCAGGGCGTCCCCCGTCCGCGGGTCCCACAGTTTGACGGGCTGCTGGTTGTCCTTGCTGCCCGAGGCCAGGAGGGACTTCTGGGGGTGCCAGTCTACACACCGCACGTCTGCTCCGTGGCCTGAGGGAGGTAGGGGGTGGGAAGAAAACAGGGGGGGGGGGAGGGGAGGAGAAAACAGGAGGATGGTTAGAAAAAAGGAAAAAGGGGGGAGGGGGGGGGGGGAGGGAATGGGGGCAACAGGGAGGGAATAAAAGTTTTTTGTTAAATTTGGAATCGTTTAAAACGTAGATTGTTTTATAACTCCCAAGAATTTTTTTATCAACAAAATTCAGATCATTTAGGAGGCAGGCTTCCTACCCTGTCGACTTTCAGGGCCAACCCGGGCTGAGAGAGATACGACATCCCAGCAGATATACCTGAGATACTCGATAAAAGTTTATCCCCCATTCGGGAATGTTGTTGTTGTTGTTGTTGTTAGCGATCCAGTAGCATCTGAGCGTTAACTCTTCTGCATGATGCCATTTGGTAATAGCTGCATGTCTGTTCTAATTGTTGTCTTGAGGAGTAGAGGCAATTAGATGTGTGGGGTAGCTTGGGAAGAAAACATCCCCTTAAGTCAGTTAGTTTTCTACAGAAGAACAGATGATGTTCCACTGTCTCTGAGGGGTAGTCACATAGTGGGCAGGCAGCAGACTGCTTTACTCCAATTCCCATTTGGGAATCAAACTCGGGTCTCCTGCGTGTGACAGCCCAGTACCTAACCATTACACCACAGACAAAGGTTGTGTTTGTCTGAGTAACAAAAAGCACATCGGCACAATAACTGTCATTTATTAAGCTGAGTTTGAGCAAAGAAAAGCACATCGACACAATAACTGTCATTTATTAAGCTGAGTTTGAGCAAAGAAAAGCACATCGACACAATAACTGTCATTTATTAAGCTGAGTTTGAGCAAAGAAAAGCACATCGACACAATAACTGTCATTTATTAAGCTGAGTTTGAGCAAAGAAAAGCACATTGACACAATAACTGTCATTTATTAAGCTGAGTTTGAGCAAAGAAAAGCACATCGACACAATAACTCATTTATTAAGCTGAGTTTGAGCAAAGAAAAGCACATCGACACAATAACTGTCATTTATTAAGCTGAGTTTGAGCAAAGAAAAGCACATTGACACAATAACTGTCATTTATTAAGCTGAGTTTGAGCAAAGAAAAGCACATCGACACAATAAAGGTCATTAAGTGCAGGGGAAAAAGTAAGACAGACAGACAGAAACAACAGAGGGAAAGTAAAGAATGAAGTAGGGCCCCTACCAGTGGCATCCTCCAACCACCCACACAAAGTGTCCTTGTGGAGGAGCAGGAGGAGGGTACAACATTTGCACCACAAGGGCTGGGGATCGAACCCCTTACCAATCATAGGAACCAGACAGAAACACTTGTGATTTCCTGGGGTATACAGCATTAGGTTTTTCATTTGTGCCCCAACCTGTCCCCGTCATTTTAAGCAAGAAAAGTCTGAAATTATGCAAACTGAGCCCAAAAATGTGAAATTATGCGATTCTGTTAATTTTAACACAGAATGATATAGGAAAATAATCAGAAATTATGCAAAAAAATGATCAAATTTTGCTAAATTCTGCGCAGTGCATAAAACCACGGGGACAGCCTTAAGAAACAAGACAGAAACACTTGTGATTTCCTGGGGTAGAGCATTAGGTTTGTCATTTGTGCCCCGCGACATTTTACTAAGTTACACCCACCACACATGTGGACTTAAATCCCGGAGGTGTTTTCCACCGTTTCGCAAAGAGTTTTTTCTACAGTCACCTAAACCTGGCGCACTATCTCTCATTTAGTCATTATAACCCCAAAAGCTTGCCTCCAACTTCTAAATGGCGGGGACAAAGGCTTGGTCATTACACTTACTAAAAAACTTGGTTCAAGAAAAGTTCCGAAAAACAAGCAAAATCTAGCACTAAATAAAACGAAACAGTTGTGACTAGTATCGGCCAGCATCTGACTGATGGGGTTTTAGTTTTAGTAGAGGTTTTACGGCGTTCGCAACTGCATACGGTCATATGAGCGCCAGAAGATTAGAGGTGTTACAAGAGAGTAACAAACATAAAAAAGAAGAAGGGGGAGATACGGACGATAGACATTTGATATGAAAGAAGGAGCAAACCACACCAGAGCACCTGCCAACCACTCACTCTGATGGGGTTTAGAGTGAATCTTACACCCAGTACACACCGTCAATCCAATTTATCTGATTGAATTGGTGCTAGATCTAGTGCTAGCCAGATTTTTCCTTTGTAGATGGGGGGGAAAAGCTACATGTACCATTCTAGCAAAATCCTATGATTATATATGAAATTCAACTACTAACTGTGACTGTGACCTTCAAAATCAAACAAATTTGTTTTTCAAGGTCACAACTCAAATCGGTTGGGTATTGTGTATTGTGCCAAAGTGGCAGCTTCTGCCGCATCCATGTAAGAAATTAGAAAGTCTGGCTGGCCAGTTCATGTGCATCCAATTAGCAGCGTGCGATGGTTGTTAACGGTTACCGAAGTCTGTTCCCCCTCACACAGAAGGTTGGGTCATGGTCAAGGTCTGGACTGGGATCAAGGTCTAGATCGAAGCCAGGGTCAAGGTCTGGAACAGTCAAGGTCAAGGTCGGTTCAGGGTCTGGACCGAAGCCAGGGTCAAGGTCTGGAACACGGTCAGGGTCAAGGTCGGTTCAGGGTCTGGACCGAAGCCATGGTCAAAGTCTGGAGCCAAGTCAGGGTCAAGGTCGGTTCAGGGTCTGACAACATCCTCGCCTTCCTCTTTGGTTCATTCACCGGACACAACCAGACTAGTGTATGACTACAGTACAGGCTAGAGTAGATCCCTTCTTCTTTCACTTTCGTTCCTTTAAATTATTATCATTCCTTCCCTCCTTCTTCCTCTAATTCTTCTGTCCCTTTCTTCCTTTTTCCACATTTCCCTTTTCTCATTCTTCCTCTCTGCCCTTATCTCCTTCCTCTACCATCTATCTTTCTCTTCATCTTTTCCTCTTTCTTTCTCTTACCACAGCTCTCCTTCCTCTACCATCTATCTTTCTCTTCATCTTTCCCTCTTTCTTTCTCTTACCACAGCTCTCCTTCCTCCTTCCCCCCCCCCCACCTTTCTCCTTCATCGTTCTAGTTTTAGAAAGAGTTTTACAGCACTTGCACATCAAATAGGTCATAGAAGTGCTGAAGGATTAGAGGAGTTACTAAAGAGTAGCAAACAAAGAAAAGAAAGAGGAAGAGGAGAGATAAAGAGGATAGATGTTTGAAAGGAAAGAAGGCATGAACCACACCGGTGTTGACACTTAAGCCTACCCGTACGCCCTTGGGTCATTTTGTACCGCCGGAGTTGAAAATTCTTCACATTTTAGAATACTTCTAGTAGGAAGATCTCTTTGAAGTTTTCAGAATTTCTCCCAAAAAATCATTTTAATTTTAACATACTGCTATGCAAAGCGTACGGATCGGATTTTAACGAGTAAAATTCCTCTTTGAAAGTGGTGGCACAGAGTCCCCAACGTCGTATGGATATGATCGTAAAAAACGACGTACGGATAGGGTTAGAATAGAGATCACGACCAGTGTGTCAGTAGTACGGCGAGCAGGGAAAGGAGGGGGGGGGGCATTTATAGACGGTTAGGAGCTCCACTGCTGCAAGCAGGAGACCCAAGTTCAATTCCTGAGGAAGGGGGGAGTTTTTCATTGAGTATCTCAGTCTTTCTGCCGGGATATCGTATTCCTCTCAGCATGGGTCGGTCTCAACAGGCAGGGTTGGAAGGCCGTCTATTAAATGATCTACATTGTGTTGATTGGGGCGTAAAATCACTTGAAAAACTATCCCTCTTCTGTCTCCATCTTGCATTCTTCAAGCTAGTAAACGAAATCCAGCCACAAATATTTTGAAATATAACTGTGGGTGGTTGGCAGGTGCTCTGACTGGTATAGTTTGCTCCCTCTTTCCTGTCAAACATCTATCGGCCTTATTTACCTCTCTTGTAACACCTCTTCTTTTTTTAAAAATAGTAGTACAGGGTTTTGCGGTGCTTGCAACTGCATAAGGTCATATGAGCGCCAAGGGGTGGGTGTCAATAGAGCAGTCTTTACAGGGAATCAGGCTTAGACTGCTCACCTCTCCAGCTTCAACAGCACAAGGTCTGCTTGGACTATCAAGGCACCCCAAAATAGCAGGTCACAAGAGAGTGACAAACATACAAAAGAAGTAGAGGAAAATGACAATAGTAAAGATCAGGAAAGAAAAAGCAGCAGTTCCCTGTAGTAGATCAGGCACAGTTATGAGCGTGACATGAGTCAGCCCATTTACAATTCTACTATGCTTGAACGAGAAATGTCCCCCCTTTGGGAATGGCCTAAAGACACTTCAGTCAGTCGCACTGCCCCTCTAATCCTCGACACTTATAACATTACTGTGTTGAAAGTGCCATAAAACATTTACTAATTTTTAATTATTTTTTTCAAGTAAGGTTTTACGGCGCTCACAACTGCATAAGGTCATATGAGTATAAGCGCCAAGGGGTAAATGTCAACAGAGAAGTCCAAACGAGGAACCAGACTTACTCTGCTTACCTCTCTAGCCTCAACAGCACAAAAGTCTGCTTCGACTATCAAGGCACCCAGGAAATAACAGTTCACAAGTGAGTGACAAACATACAAAAGAAGTAGTACAAAAAAATTAGTTTCCCTCGTGTTGTTCTAGCAAAGGCAAAATTTTTTAGAAAAAGGCCCCCACAGTTTGCTAATTTCCAAAGCTTGAGTGTCCTTGAAAACTGCAACGTTACATCTTTTTTTGTCATTGATCAACATTTTTCAGTAAAACCAACACAAATTTTTTTTCAAATAAACATAAACGGTGTTGAGTCAAAAAAAAAAAAAAAATCATCATAAAAATTGCCCAACAGGCAGAAAACTGCAGGTTTCATTGATTTCAATATTTTGACACACGCCCGATTTCTTCACACAAATCATTCAGTATTTATGTCATTGCCCAGCAAACACACAACGGATTTTACAGTAATCCTGCACACAGGCCCACTGCTCACTACAACTTAAGTAACTTTTGGCCTGTTAATCCACTGAAGCCACGCGACTCGGAGACTTTACATTCCCCGTCCCGTACCCAGCTTTTCCGAAAAAAAGAACTCACTCATTCACAGCCTAGCATGCACATAGTTTTCTTTTCATAGTGTACAAATTGTACAAATAGTACCAAGTGTGTGTCTCGGATGCAAGGCGGAGTGGTGAAAAAGGCACTCATCAAAATAATGAAATCGCAGAAAACAGAATTTTTCTTCCCATTTGGCAATTTTGGTCAAATTTTGAATTTTTGACTCAACCCTTTTTATAATAATAAATAGCATTTGTATAGCGCATATCCCCGCTCAACAGCAGGCTCTATGCGCTTTACACTATATTATTACCCCAGCAGACCATAGAACACTCTGAAACATTCTCAGCTTCCGCGGAAGCATACAGTGCAAGCTGCGGATTTCACGTGCTCAAACACTATCAAACTGACAAGATCTTTCTGTCTATAGCTGGGTACCCATTTCCACCTGGGTGAAGTGAGGAAAATTTGTGCAAAGTGCCTTTCCCAAGGACACAACGTCGGGCCCCTGACGGGATTCGAACCCACAACCTTACGGTTGCGAGTCCGAGAGCCTAACCACTAGGCCACCGACGCCACTATGTTAAAAAAAATTCGCTGTGAGGCAATTACTGAAAAACGTTGATTAAAGGCGCAAACAATGTAAATTTAGTTTTTAAAAACTCTCGAGCTTTGGAAATCTTCGGAAAACTTTGGCGGCAATTTTCTCTTTTATTTTACCTCTGAAAACAGGTGTCCCCCATCTCCTTCAATCTAAAATATCACAACTTCTATGAAAGATAGGCGGAAAGTTTTTTCATCGAAAGCAAGAACACGCTTAAAAATGATACCAATAACTCCATTTTATGCCCAAAAATTGACGAGCGCCTAATTCTACTGCACCATGACACATAAGCGTGAGAAAAAATTTGGGACCACAAAATCTGTTTGCTAGTATTAGTATGTGTTTTCCTATGTGCTTAGACTGTATTTCTCAGCCAATTCTCTTATCACATGATGATATGTTGTGTACAGCTGAGTGATCTCTCCAGAAACAAAACTTAAACTCACTCGCTGCCACACGCAAAGCATTTCGGGAAAAATCAACAGACTGGTTACTGCCATTTGTAACCAAAACCCATCGGTTTTTGAGTTTTCCATCATTTTTCTTCTACAATTACCCCATATTTCTGGGCTAGTTTTTTAGGGTACGTAACTGTTGTCCTTTCTATTTCAAAGTCGATTGAGAATTGTTCGAGTTACATCCCTTGATCATTGATCCAAAATAGGGGGGCGGGGGGGGGTTGGCACGATGACGAACAAAATTCACAACATATTCGAACTGATGGACCCATAATAAGCCAATGGGCTAGTCGGATTAAGACTTTTCGGAAACCATTCCATTCCAGAGTACTGAAGAAGATGACAGCGATGCTGACCTAAGCTGTCCCCGTGGTTTTATGCACCCCGCATAAGTTAGAAAAGTTTTATCATTTTTTTCATAATTTCTGATTATTTTCCTTTAGCATTCTTTGTTGAAATTAACAGAATCGCATAATTTCACATTTTCGGGCTCGGTTTGCATAATTTCAGAATTTTTCTTGAATAAAACGACAGGGACAGCCTAAGTTATGAATGTTCAGAGTTTAGTAGAGGCAAGAGGCAGGCTGAACAAATAACATTTTTGACGAGAGCCTGGATTTCACAGCGATGACATTAATTTAATTTCTTTTGCATTGTGGCACGTTTTCTTCCCTTCTTGCATGCTGGGTGGTGGAAAAATTTGGTCATAACGATTTTTCGAAAGGAGCCAAAAGGCCCGTCACTCTTCAGATGAAGATGTTGAGCCACAAAGTGCCTGGAACTGAGTGAGTTACCAAACCTGTGCCAAGTGATGATGACTGCGTGTGGGAGAGGCCAAAAACTAGCTCAGAGGACCATCTTTTCTTGTGTTGCTTAAGGACAGGTCCCTCTTTTTAATTTTCTGGTTTTAATTTACGAATCTGAAAATTCTGAAAAATAAATTCTCCTGACTGTCAAAAGTTATCAGTAGCCTCAAAGTGTGCAGAAAATGTTCTGCTTCAAGCTCATTCTAGATATCCAAGACAGTGTACACTTAGCAAACGCCCCTTGGTTTCTTCACTAGATTCCAGAAAAAAACGGCAGCTAGTATGCAACCTATCGATGTCATACTTGCGATAGATAGTTGCGCTCTACAAATAACTTTTAAAATTAAAATTGTTCATTTCCGAGAAATTTCAGAGGATGGTCTCGGAACCGACCCCCCCCCCCCAAATAATAAGCATGGTCAGTGAGTGAGTTAATTCAGTAACTCCCCAACAACCATGCCGAGATCAAGCAATCTATGCTGCGCACCACACAAATCAGTCATGGGAGGGAAGATCTCGGTGAAGAAAAATCATACCTCGTAGAATTTTCTCTTCAAAACACCTCATAAAATCCCAAATGCGAACAGTCCCATCGTCAGAGCATGAGGCAAATTTTGAGTCCGTTGGACAAAAACTGGGAGGGAAGAAACAAAAGCACAAACACATTTTATCGGCTTCTGAAAAGAAATTTATTGATTACACATATTAAATTGCATTCAAGTCGTGTACATTGTCAGTTGTAGAAAAAAATAAAAGTCAAAAGACTACTATAAAAACTGTAATAACATACACGTAAGCCAAAAGACTTCACTTATAACAATAACATACGCGTAAGCCAAAAGACTTGACTTATAACAATAACATACAGGTCAAAAGACTTCTATAACAATAACATACAAGTCAAAAGACTTCTATAACGTTCAAGTCAAAAGACTTGCTCTGTGAAAGAACACGGGCAAATATATGGCACTGGGACAAGCAGGGATATATTAGACATGACATGAAATATCCTTCCAACAGTCTCTCCAACGGCCACCGCAACAATCTCACACACTCGGACTCTGAAACCTCCTGCATTCTTACAGAAACTGCCACTGAATCGGGTTTTTTTTCATTCTCCGTGTATTTTATTCAAGCAGCGAGGCGGAGGAAAAAAGGGGCCGAGGAAAAGGCTTGACTCCAAGCAAGAGCCACCAGAAGCGTTTCACTTCCCAGCAGACACAAGCGCTGGAGCTTCTGATAACAATAAAACACAGACCAGCACACACATACAGACAGACCAGCAGACACACGGACAAGCTTCTCTCTACAATTAACAGGGCTGGGCAGCCTGACATTCAGGCCAGTTCCAGCCTGGTGTCTGACCAAAAGAGGGTTGAAGTAACATGAAGCTCTCCGCCCAACCTGAACTCGGGCGTAACGACTTCCATCCGATCTAACGAGAGTTACCATCGGGTCTAATGTCCCTCTACCTTTTTATTATACCGAACATCCCTTTAAGGCCCTCTACGTATTACAATGTCCGGCCTAAAGGCCCTCTATTATAACATCAGGACTGCTATTTTCAAATGATTCAAAGTCCTTCCAGTGACATTTCATTTTTTTTCCAGCCCAGTGAGGTAACAGGCCTTCTCTCAGCTTCGGTGTGGGCTAATTGGCCAGAAAGCTTGAACACCCACACTCCCTGAGACCTCCAGTTTTCTACAGCTTTTTTAAAAAGTAGCTCTAGTCATTTCTTCAACCTCATCAACACAATTTAGATTTAGAAATATATAGATCATTGACAAAGTGTGCTACCGACCCTTACAACAGCTTCACACAACTGGGGAACCACCAGAGTACTACACTGTTTCCTCTGGACAAGTTTCCATTCACTTGCTATTCTTCAGCGCCCACTTGGTGAACAACCGAATTCATGGGCATCTTTTTTTTTTTTTTTTTTTTACTGATCTTTATTTGGACCGTAGAGTGTGTATAGAACTACGGTACTAAAGAAATTTGTATTTAAAAAAAATTAAAACTTACTGCGACAAAGAGAATATTACGCGCAACAACAGAGAGGAACAACACTAGTCACTGAATACTACTTGCAACAACTGGAAGGGGCAACAAAGAGGGAATGATTGTTACAAGTTACAACTGAAAATGAAAGAGGTGACAACGAGAGAACGTTACGTGTTGTAACAACTGAAAAGGGAAACGGAGAGATTTCGTTTGAATGTGACAAGTAACAACTGAAAGTGAAAGGGGAGACAAAGAGAGGATGTTGCTTGTAACAAGTTCAACTGAAAGGAGCAAAAGAGACAGGTAGTTTGAATATTACGCGTAACAACTGAAAGGGGCAACAGCGAGAAAAAAGTTTTTTTTAATTCTGTTTTTCATGTTAATGTTTTACGCCCCCGTCAACACAATTGAAATCATTTAGGAGACGGGCTTCTCATCCTGCCCGTCAAGGTCAATCTGGGCACAGAGAGGTACAACATCTTAGCAGAAAGGCCAAGATACTTGATAAAACTCCTCCCCACCCGGGAATCAAACGTGGGTCACTCCCGTTTTACACACGCACACACACGACAAGACCCCTTGGAATGTCTCTGCCTTTTTAAAGGCATGTACGCACGCACACAAACATACATGCATGCGTGCGCATGCGCGCACACAAACACAGGACAAGACCTTAACCTACAAGGTGTCTCTGCCTTAATGACACGTATACACACATAACCACACACCCATGCGCATATGCAGGTACACACACACACACACAGTACAAGACATAAACCTACAGGTGTCTCTGCCTTTATGGCATTGACAGCCTTATCTTTATTCCATTTCCCACAAAAATAATCAATGGTACCGTAGAAACTTTATTGATGTGTATTTTAAAAAGTGAGGCACGAATAGTAGTACAAAGATCTATACTATGTCTATAGTAAACTGACCGTAGAAACTTTATTGACCTTTATAAAAAGTGAGGTAAGTATAGTAAATAGCACAAAGAATCTATGTCTATAGTAAACTGACTAAACTTACAGCACAGAGATCGACGGACGTACACGGTACAGAAAAGTGACAGCCTTACAGTAAAGCCATTTGACGTGTTAAGTTAGCTAAAAGCTAAATAGAGGAAACTTCCACCTTTATGGTTTTGATTTCCTGAACATTTTATTCTAAGCACTTGGTCAAGAACAAGATATGTAGGTAGGTGTATGTATGTAGGTAGGTAGGTAGGTAGGTAGGTAGGTAGGTAGGTAGGTAGGTAAGTAGGTTGGGTGGTGGATGGGTAGGTAGGTATGTAGGTAGGTGAGTGTACAGTTCAAGAGTCCAAGAGGTTTCCACCTTTATGGTTTCACCGCCTTGTCAATATTTATTGCGCTCATCAACAACAAACATGGAGGAGGAAGGCTTGGAATAAACAACAATCTTCTTGCACCACTACCTGTTCCACATGTCTTACTGGGGACTAATAATGCTCCCCTTTCCCCACAAAAAATGTCTATTTCTTTAGCCCTTTCCCCCGGCTCTTCCCCCATAAAGATGGTTTCTTCAGCAGGCAAATAGTTCTGACAACTTTGATAGGACTTTTTACATTGTGCCTTTTCAATGTAATGTAACAACTGCGTTTGTGCGTGTCTGTACATGTATCTACATGTGTGTCTGTGTCTACATGTGTGTGTGTGTGGTTATGCGTCTACACGTGTGAGTGTGTAGGTGTGTCCGTGTGTATGGGTGCGGTTCCCCCATCCCACCTGATGCCCCGGATGGGTTCCTTGTGGGCCTGGTACATCTTGACGTTGTTCATGTTGGACTGCCAGTACTTGATGTAGCCCGCGTGGTCCGCCGTCACCATCCAGGCGTCCGAGTGGCTCCACCGCATGGCACGCACTGCTGTCTCATGAGCCTGGGGGGGGGGGAGATAGAGGGTGTGAGAGAGATGGTGTGGTGTGAAAGAGATAGAGGGTGTGAGAGAGATAGAGGGCGTGAGACAAAGGGAGAGAGGGCGTGAAAGAGATAGAGGGCGTGAGACGAAGGGAGAGAGGGTATGAGAGAGATAGAGGGTGAGAGAGAGATAGAGGGTGTGAGACAATGGGAGAGAGGGAGATGGTGTGAGAGAGATGGTGTAAGAGAGAAGGTGTGAGAGAGATGGTGTGAGAGAGAAGGTGAGAGAGAGAGATGGTGTGAGAGAGATGGTGTGAGAGAGAGAGATGGTGTAAGAGAGGGTGTGAGACAAAGGGAGAGGAGGAGAAGGTGTGAGAGAGAGGGTGAGAGTGTGTGAGAAAGAACATGACAGAGAGGGTGAGTGTGTGTGCGAGAGGCACCCTCCAACCATCCGCACCAGGCTCGGGTGGATTACTTAACCTGCATGTTTACAAGGAGCGTATGTTTACATTGCCCATGAAAAGGGGGAAAGGGAATGTAACCATTTTCGTTTCCTTGATATTTTAGCTTTTAAATTTTAGTAGAGGTTTTATGGCACTCGCGACTGCATAAGGTCATAAGAGCGTCAGAAGATTAGAGGTGTTACGAGAGAGTAACAAACATAAAAAAGAAGAAGGGGAGATAAGGACGATAGATGTTTGATAGGAAAGAAGAAGCAAACCACACCAAAGCACCCGCCAACCACCCACTTACAGCACTTGTTGCACAATTAGGCCGTACAAGTGCCAAGATAAGGTGTTACTAGGGAGCAACATACCTTAAAAAATGGAGGAGGAAGGAGGGCGACAAATATTTCATAGAAAAAAAGGAGCAAACCATACCAGAGCATCCGCCAACCACCCGCTACTGGAAATAGAAGGCACTCTACACACACACACACACACACACACACACACACACACACACACACACACACATCACACACACACACACACCACATCTCTCCTGTGCCAGGCATTACCTGCAGGATGGTCTCAAAGTTGAAGGTCAGGCCGTTCCACAAGGTGAACTCGCCGCTGGAAGCCCCCGTGACCAGACGCCGGCCCTCCGGAGTCCACTGGGGGAACAGACGACAACACAAACTGTTTTACTACACATAAGTTTTAGTAAGCGTTTTACGGCACTTGCAACACAATAAGGTCCTTTAAGTGCCGAAGATTAGATGTGTTACAAGAGAGTAACAAACACAAAATAGAAGGAGGAAAGATAAGGATGATAGATGTTTCATAGGAAAGAAGGAGCAAACAACACCACCAGAGCACCTGTCAACCACCCACTACTACACATAAATAACACAACATTATTGTAAGCCTGCTATAGCCAATATCCTCCTTTTACCGAGATTGTTATATGTGGGGCCCACCGTAGTGAAATATAAAGACAATTTATCGTTATATAATTAATATTAATATAATTATTATTAATACAGTTATTATTATTATTATAACACAAGTAATGAAATATAACAAAGGCACGTCATTATTGTAAATCGTTCAGACAACTCACCGTTAAACAAAATATCGGGCAACGGAATTTGTTGGTGGATGTCCTGACGAAGCGGGTGGTGACTGCATTCATTGGGCGCTCCAACATGGCCGACGGTGGCAGAAGCTGGGGAGGAGAAGAGATCATTTTTTAAATATGTTGGAGGGGTGTTTTTTGTTTGTTGGTTTGTTTGTTGTTGTAGTTTTGTTTTACGCCACTTGCAGCCCAATAAGGTTATATAAGTGCCGAAGATTAGAGGTGATACAAGAGAGTAGCATTCACAAAAAAGAAGAGAGATCAGGACAACGAGATGTTTGATAGGAAAGAAAAAGCAAACCACACCAGAGCACCTGCCAACCACCCGCAGAACTTTTGACCCTGCCTATCAGGGCCAACTAGGGTTGAGAGGCATACAACATCACAGCAGAAAGAATGAGATACTCGATGAAAAATTTTGAGCATCGTGGGAATCAAAACTCGTCTAGTTTTAGTAAGAGTTGTACAGCCCTTGAAACACATTCAAGTGCTGAAGACTAGAGGTGTTATAAGAGAGTGACGTACAAAAAAGAAAGGAGAAATAAGGATGATAGATGTTTGATAGGGAAGAAGGAGCAAACCACAAAGAGGACAAGTTTCCGTCACAACTTACATCGGCAGAGTACAAAGCGTCCGGCTGTATCAGGGGCTGGTCCCGCCTGTCACGTTGCCAGATTCGATTCTGAAGACGACAAAGAAAAAAAAAGACATATTCATCAAAGCCATACAATGTCATTCTATGAGAAAATCAGTGGGTAGAGAAGCACATTGACCCAACAACAGTCAAATATTGAAGAGAGAACACAAAACAGAGAAACATTAGAGGGAAGGGAAACCTAAAAAGGTAGGACAAACCAACCAAATTTCTCGACTGCTGACAAAGAAACTCCAATTCCCCCCCCCCTCAACATTCTATGTACATCTATGTGAACAGACATTTTCCCAGACATTCTTCCACCATCAGACAGGTTGTTTGTTTTCGTAGGTTTTACAGTGCTCCCAGCTGCATAAGGTCATTTTGAGCGTCAAGGGGTGGATGTCAACACAAAAGTCCCAATGGGTAATCTGCTGGCTTACTCTGCTCATAGCCTCAATAGCACGAAGTCTGCTTCAACTATCAAGGCATCTCAGAAATAACAATTAACAAGAAAATGACAAACATACAAAAGAAGTAGAGGAAAATGACGATAGTAAGGATGAGGAAAGAAAGAGCAGCAGTTCCCCCAATGTTGTTCCGGCAGAGTTATGAGCATGACATTGATGATAGATCAGCCCATTTACAATTCTTCTGTGCATAAGAACATGTTAATATCCCCCCTTTGGGAATGGCCTTAAGGCACTTCAGTCAGTAGCACTACCCTGGGGGAGTAGATGGGCTGTACCTCCTACTGACACACAGCAAAGCTATTTATTAATTCGCCCCAAACTCAAAAGGGACGGACACAACAGAGAAGAACATGTCCCAAAACTTCCCACAACAAAACATCACGCGACTGCTGCCCACCTGTAAGTACTTGAGAATAGAGGGGTTGTAGTCCACCGTCTTTCTGTGAATGGCTTTGCGCATGCGCTTGCCGTCGTACATGATCCCCGAGGCGGGGTCGTCGGCGTTCTTGTTCATGGAGAAACGCGGGCGAAACTGATGGGGGGGTCGGTGGAATGACTGTGTGGGGGCGGCTCCGTCCCCGCGGGCCGTGGGATCATGTGACATGCGGGGAGGGGGGAAGCGGTTCTGCGGCTGGAAGTTGGTGGCCTGCGAGCTGCTGGGACTGATGCCCAGCCCTGTGGCCGGCATGGACATGGCCACTGTGGGACCAGCCATGGCGCTCGCTGGTGTCACCAGCTACAGACGTACAATCTCTCGCTCTCTCGTCACAACTATCTGCCGGTCCAGTCAGCACATCCTCAACATTTGTGCCCTGATGAGAAAAAAACGAGAGAACAAAACTAGAATAACAGTGACAGGAGGAATAAAATATGAGGCGCAAGGAGAATAAAAAAAAGAAAACAAAGAGAGATTTGATTACTTATGAGTCATTATCATTATCATTGACACAATGCACAACTTGAATTCCAAATTGAGTGGGGGGGGGGGGTGTGTTTCGTATCGCATTGCACAATTAGAATTAGATCTGGATCTAGATCTATCCCAACCAAAGATAGCACATTTATGTACACTCAGCCCGAAAAGTGTTCGCAGAAGTCCGCACATTGCTTCAGATGGCGCTGGAGTCTTTGTTTTGTAGCTCTCTTTCGTTTCCCCAGAAGAAGAATAGGATATAGGCCAGGGTTGGGTTGATTTAAATCAGTTGATTTTTTTGGTTTAAATCAACTTGATTTTTAAAATAAAAATCAGTGATTTAAATCACTTTTTCTTAAATTTATTTTTATTCAGTTTTTTTACATATTTTAACATTCAGAATTCCTTTCCTTGGTTTCATAAAACAGATATAAGGTTTAGTAGACTAATATAACCATGCTTAAAATTTAAGTCTGCTATCCCCCATTCACTGTATCCCCCATTCACTGTAAAATAATACAGTATTCAATTTACTTTTTTTTCCATAATTGAAATCAGAGCTGGGTTGATTTAACAATCAGTTTATTTTTATTTTAATCAACTTGATTTTTTAAATAAAAATCAGTGATTTAAATCAATTTTTTTTAAATGTATTCGTTTTTTACATTTAAACATTCAGAATTCTTTTCCTTGGTTTTATTTTTAAAACAGATATACGGTTTAGTAGACTAATATAATCATGCTTAAAAGTCTGTTTTCCCCCATGTCACTGTAAAATAATACAGTATTCAATTTACTTTTTTTTCATAATTGAAAAAAATTGAAATCAGGGTTGGGTTGATTTAAATCAGGTCGATTTAAATCAGTTGATTTTTTAAAATTTAAATCAACTTGTTTTTAAAAATAAAACTGTGATTTAAATCACTTTTTTTTTAATGTATTCTGTTTTTACATCTATTCAGAATTCCTTTCCTTGGTTTTATAAAACAGATATAAGGTTTAGCAGACTAATATAATCATGCTTAAAAGTCTGCTTTACCCCCTGTCACTGTAAAATAATACAGTATTCAATTTCCTTTTTTTTCATAATTGAAACTAGCATTCTTTTTCTTTTTAGACAAACACAAGCGTTCACACACACGCACACACTGTAATAAAATGCAAGTTTATCTGTGCATAATACCCCCCCCCCCCCACCTTCCTTTTAGACTGACATTTTCTTCATTTTTAGTCTGTAGCCATAATTCCCTGATATAATAGCAGATTAAGGCTTTCTTTTGCAGTTGCTTATATTAATCATTAGTTAAAATAAAGTTAATAAAGACAATGCATTTTGCACTACAAGAACATACTTTTAGCCACCAAAAAATCCTAAACTGTCGACATTTTTTAAATAAATTTTTTAAAATCAGATTCAAATCCAAAAAATCTGATTTAAATTTTAAAAATCGATTTTTTTAATTTTTATTTTAAAAATCAAAAAAATCACCAACCCTGATATAGGCTAATAAATAGGCACAGTCTGTTAATTTCACTCTCAAAAGTGTTTTTCTCACAAGTAAGGTAACCCTGTTCGCAAAGTCCGCACTTTTTCGAAGAGGGCACCAAATTTTGAGGACACTTTTTTAATTGGCTCAAAGTGAGGAGTGAACTATCTTGTTATAATTATCTTTGTCCGTACGCGATTGTGGGGGGGGGAATGCTAGGCCCAATTAATTTCCATCCTTCTTTCGAAACGCCCTGTGCCAATAATATTTTGTAGCATCCACACACCCTGTGCGAATAAAATTTCATAGTATTCACACACCCTGTACAGATAAAATTTCATAGTATTCACACACCCTGTGCGAATAACATTTCATAGTATTCACACACCCTGTGCGAATAAAATTTCCTAGTATTCACACACTCTGTGCGAATAAAATTTCATAGTATTCGCACACCCTGTGCGAATAAAAAACAGCCTTTGTTTTGCCCGTAAGTTCTCGCGCTAGGCCTACTCCCCTCTCTCTCTCTCTCCACTGCCCACTGACAAAATTGCACGCTTTTAGGCTAACAGTAGTAACACAAGAGCGCTGGAAGAACGTTTGTTCACGGCACAGAATTCTACAATTCTGTATCACAGTGTAGAATTCTGTGGTTCAGGGTGAACGCCATACAGGTTGGCCTAGGCCATAACGGTGAACGCCCGCCGGGTGAGAATAGCCAAAAGGCTCCCCTGCACGGGGTGACAATAGAGGTGGCCCTCTTCTTTATTATTGTGTTTGTAGGGGTGGTCGCTTGTTACGAAAGTCCTTCCGAATTGCCCCTCACAACAAAGAGAAGTCCATGCGTCTGCATGCAACGAACCAATGCAGAGCCTCCGCAACAAAATCAGTGCCCACGCGGACAGGCAAGTCGAACTGGAGAAAGCATGCCCAGAACCTCGTAGCCGAAACTGAACTGGATACGTACCCACATGAGGAGCTGGTTGTTTTACCCCCCACACAACCGTGGAAGGCTGCATCATACAATGTGACTTTTAGCACCGATCTTGTCGTCGACTGCAAGCGTGCTAATGAACCAGCTGTCAGGAAAGCTGCAGCAGAGGCTACAATTCGTTCGCTCCCCCTGCCCGATGTAGAAGTCTGGACTGACGGTTCAGCTAAGCACGGTACTGAGTATGGAAGAAGTGAAATACTGATCAAGACCGGTGATACCGAACTCGACCAACGTGTACCTGCGGGCCGGTATTGTTCCAGCCACAGGGCCGAGCTTGTAGCTCTCGACACAGCGCTTGACATGCTTCTTGTGGCACTTACATACAGCAGGCAGCCTTCCGAACAGTGTACGCATCCATGTATACACTGATTCTAGGTCAGCAGTCATGCGTCTCTCATCAGCCCTACCAACCAATCGGAAAAGGTGGCCTGCTCAATCTGGCAACATCTGCACACCCTCTGTCAACACTCTGAATGTTCCATCCACTTACAGTGGATTCCAGGCCACGCTGGACTGGCTGGGAACAAGGAAGTTGACAGCATCGCCAAAGAAGCAACAACAGCGCTTACCCAGATTGACACGCCAATCGATTTCTCGACAGCTAAAGCCATAATCCACCGATCGACCCGCACAAAGTGGAAAAGAGAGGCGAAACCCAAACTGCCGTTTGCCCAGCCGCCGTCATACCAGCTTGAGGCCTCGCTCAGACGACAGTACCGCCGGCTTCTCTCCCAAATGAGAACTGGTGGAAAATCGCCCAAGCTGAAATCATATCTCCACAAAATTGCGCCAGCGGACAACCCAGATCCATCCTGTCGAGCCTGCAAGGAGGAGGACGAAACTATATGGACCATGTGTTCCTGAGATGTCCCGCCAGCTATCGTGCTAGAACCCGTCTGCTGGGACATTTCAGTAACCCATTTTCAGCACTTTTTAAGGACCCCCGGGCAAGTGTTGAGTTCCTATGTGCTGTCGGCATCGCTGACCGTTTATGAAGCCACAGCACCAGAAGAGAGAGAGAGAGAGAACAAAGACCAGCCACTCTATAGGCCACCTCTATTCTCACCCGGAGTGAGAATAGTGCAGGCGAGTCTTGTGGCTATTCTCACCCGGTGCGCGTTCACCAAATTTTGCGTTCACCCTAAACCATAGAATTCTACACTGTGAGGAAAAATTGTAGAATTCTGTGCCGTGAACAAACGTTCCATTACAACTGTAGCCTACTAAAAGCGTACAATTTTGTCTGTGGGCAGTGGAGAGAGAGAGAGAAAAAGAGAGAGAGGAGTAGCGCGAGAATTTCCGGGCAAAACAAAATGGCGACCCGCGTAGTTCGGCTCGATTCGAAAAGTTAAATAGCCGTAGCATCTTTGTAGACAACCAAATTTATTTACTTTTGTGTTTTAACATCATTTTTTAACTTTGTTTTGGTCAATTTGATCGTCCACACCGATAGACAGTATTCAGAAAGAGACAGAGAGAGAAAGAAGAGGGGAGGAGTTGATCTTGCGAGAACTTCCGGGCGGGTGAGAATAGCCACTTTCCACTCTATACTATACTATTTCTACAGAATGTGATCACATCTTGTAAGACTGGATGAAACGGTACAATGATTGCCCTGACATGATCACACCAAAGTGTGAACACTGCGGTGTGAACTGCTCGACGCATTTGTTTTCCCCAAACTCAAACAACAATGACAGTGAAACACATTGCACTCGCCAGAGCCAGAGTATGATAGTCAGTCTGCCGAGCTCTCGACCTAAACTTACATCACTCACTGGTTGAGTACGGCCTACAAGTTTGCTCCAGATGGAATCATATCGAATTGTCGGTTCAACTCATACTCATGCCATGAGTAAGACAGATCAGACTTCACTTCAGTAACTTTCTCAATCATCAATTCAATGAGAATGAGACATGAGACCAAGTTCACCAAGCATGCCCACAACCATTCTCACTGCTCATCACCATATCAAAGCGTCTGGAAGTATGATCTTACATAGATTACCATCTAGATTTAAGCCTTACCTGGAACCAACAGCAGTCTCGAAATGACAACAACGATTGGGTGAATCAATTGTAACACATTTTTGCATGAAAGTTAATGATCAGTACAACACCAGAGAAAACTGCACAGAGCGTCTCACGGTCTTTTCAACATGGCGGAAAACCGGAAGCTGAAAAGGAAAAGTACAAAGCTCTGAACTCGGCCTTGGCTCGTTAAGCAAACAAATCTACTTAGAAAAAGAGTGCTTTTTAACTTCTTTTTTTTAAGTTATCGATTACATTACAATACATGAAGATCTAGTATATAATTATTTAATTTTTACAGGAAACTAAATGTTTCTAAACATAGTACGACAAGGGCTAATATTAGAATCAGGCCACTGAGAGAGACACCACGGAGATTCTAGGCTTTTCACTAACTAAATCTAGCTGAAATTTTCTACACACTCATGACTAGATCTAGATCTAGAATCTAATACATGTAATACCTGTAGATCTTGTATCATTTTTGGAATAAATCTTAATGAATGTGAAAGTTATTTCCAAAAAGCATTTCAAATCCTGATCCCCGGGCCCCCCACCCCCCACCCCACCCCCTCCGCACGTGCGTGCATGTGTGTTTGAGTTTGATTGAGTAAAAAAAAAAGAATATCGACTCGACATGATTACTGTCATTTCGGGAAAAAGAGTTTTACGGCACTTGCAACACGTAATATTAAGGTCATATAGATCTAAGTGCCGAAGATTGGAGGTGTTATAAGGGAGTAACAAACACAAAAAAGAAGGAGGGAAGATAAGAAAGAAGGACCAAACTACATCAGAGCACCCGCCCCAACCATCAGCACTAAGGAAAAAAGCAAAGACAGAAAAACAGAGGCACAGAGTAAAGGGGCTACAAATAATATAATCTTACACCTGGAAGGGGGGGGGGTCT